CGGCAAGGTAGCCGGAGAACGGCTAGCTACAGGGACGGCGGCACTAGGGAAAGCGCTAGGGAAAATAGCAGCAGGGAAGGTAGCAGCAGGGAGGAGATTAACTGGTTGGCACAAGCTTGCGCGGAGGGCCGGTCGAAGCAGGTAGATCGACGAACAGCTAGTAGCCGTAGGTCGTTCGACGTCGCCAGATCCGGCCGAAACCCAGTCTCGGAAACGGTTTCCGTCTCCGTTACCGGCGGCGTTTACGTTCCTGGTTCCGCGAGCCGGGACTGTTCGGCCCACTCGTCGCCCGTGCCTCTGCAGCAGCGCCGGCGAAGCCATTCCGAAGTGCCGCCACTGCTGGTAACCGTGCCGAAATCTTCGTTAGAAAAAGTCGCGCTGTCGAACAAAAAAGGCTCCCCCGCGCTCCCGCCATCACTCCGCCAAGGCGCATGCTCTTCCCTCAGTCCTAGCGACCGCCAGCAGAAAGCCTTCCCCTCACGCTCTCCGCGCAGTAATCTATCCGTGCAGGCACTCCGCTCTTCCTCTCTTTCCCCCGATTCCCCCTCCGTATCCCCGCGTTCCTCCTCCGCTGCGCTAGCTGCTGCACTTGCGGCGTCCCGAAAAGCGGAAAGTTTTCGAGAAGATTTGGATTCTTCGGACGAGGAGTTCTTAGCGGCTTACTGCCACATTACCGGTTCCCCTACTCCCCCCGACTGCAGCCCCGCTGCGGGGTCGCCCGTAACCTCCCCCCCTTCCGCAGCTTCCGCGGGTTCCACCTTCCGCGGGCCCGTCGTCCGCGCGCTGCAGAAGAGTGCGAGCTGTTTGGAGGGGCGGGGGGAGCAGCGCCAAGCGCCAGTACGCGCGCAAGCGGGGAGGGCGCAGGCGCTGGCCAAGCCACAGGAGACGTTGTTGCGCAAGGGCGGAGCGAGCTGCGGAGCTAGCGCCGCAAGGGACGCGCATGCGAGGGTAAGGGCGCAGGAAGCGGCGGACGTTCCGCAACGTTCCTACACGGCGCCATCCGGGGGGGGTAAGCCGGCGCCTTTTTCGGCACCCTTTGCGGCGGTTATTGCGCATCAAAACCTGGAGAAGCAGAACCTCCACCTGAAGAAACAGCTGCAGCAAGCGCAGCAGCTAAGGACCGCAATAGGCGGCGGAGTCGGCGGTGGCAGCGGCGGTGGCGGCAGCGGAGTCAGCAGTAGCGGAAGCAGTTGCAGTGGGCTCAGTGGTTCGGACCTTGCGCGGGGATTGGGAAACGAGTCGGGTGTCAAGCAAGCCGGAGGCGTGGCGGCCGCCGCCGGGCACGGGGCGCGCGCGACGGGGGGAACTGGCGGAGCCTGCTGCGCGCGATCTCAGGCGCAGCCGGCGAGCGCTGCGCAAGCTAGATCAAGAAGTAATGCGGGGCACGCAGACATTCCGGCTGGCGGAGCGGTGTCCGCGGGTGCGCGGAAGCTGTTCGGGTTCGGTTCGCAGTCCCACCGGATGTTACCGCACGCCGCCACTACCGGCGGAGGCCCCCGCTCGCTCGTCCGCGGGCGTTCGTGGGCGTCGTTGGAGTTCCAGCGGACGCAAGATCCCCCGCAAAACGCGCCGCATTTAGAGGAGCTGGTCCCCTGCACTAAAGGCCTCCCCACTATCGAGAGCAGTGGCAGCGGGAGCGGCAGCGGTAGCGGTAACGGGTGCGGCAGCAGTAGGAGCAGGGAAAGGAGCAGCGGCGGTAATAGGACCGTTAGTTTCTCGGAGCGGCACTCCGCGCTTCTTTCTCCCGCGGATTCCCCGCGGGCGCGCGCAGGCGCCGCCGCGCCGCCGCTCTCCGCCATGGGCAGGGCAAGCTCGGCAGCTGCGGGCGGCGCATCGCGGGGCTCCCCCTCGTTCCCCCATGAGCGGAGCATTCTTCCGGAGCTCCCCGGGTTGGCGAAAAGGGCGCTGCTTGCGCAGGCGCAGGAGGGGACGGGCGCAAGTGGCGCGGGTGGAACCGTGGCAGGCGCAGGGGCGCCAGGCCTGTCCCGAACCTCGTCGGCTCGGCAGCTGTACGTTCAGAAAATGCTGCTGGATCTGGCGGCGCAGAGCGACGAAGCAAGCGAAGCAGGTTCGGGTTCCGGTTCGGGACACGCGAGTCCGTGTGTAGCGTCGGGGGGGGGAACCGGAACGGGCGGAAGCGGGAAGGGGGGCGGGAGCGTGCTTTCTAGGCGCGGAGTACAGGGGCGGCCGGTTTCAGGCAAGGAGCACGCGGGGAGGCGCGCGGGGGCAACGGCGCAGGAAGGCGCGGAGGCGGCGCAAGTGCAACTCAACGCGGTCAGGCGCTCCGCTTCCGCGCGCTACCAGCCCGCCTCGCGGCTATCCGTCGACTTGAGCGCAGCTGCCTCCGCGGGGCTGACTGGCGGAGAGAACGGCGGAGGGGGTTCCGCGGAGGGGAGATCTCTGGGGCGCTCCGCATCTGACAAGGCAATGCAGGGGGGGGATCAGGCGCGGATGGTGGGCCTACCGTCGATTTCTGGGGCGATTTCTGGGGCGGGCGCAGCTGTGCGGGGGGGTACATCTACAGTACTTGTGGATCCGTTTGCCGGGGCTTATAACAGGGAAGCTTGTGACGAGGATGAGGATGATGAAGATCTGTTTGATATTCTTGCTGCTATGAGGAGCATGCAGACGAGCCCTCAGTCTCCTAGCCCAATCTCCCCCCTCCACCCCTGCCCACCCCGCTCCCCAATCCCCCTCTCCCCCTCCCCCGCCAACTCCCCCCACGCCCCCCCCCACCACACTTATTCTCGCGATCCCTCCCCTGCTCCCCGCGTTCCCCCCGTTCCTCGCCCTTCCTCTCCCCCTCCCCCTCCCCTCCTCCGCTCCCCTTCACCCGACTCCCGCCCCCCCTCCCCTTCTTCGCGCACCGCGCCCCAACCAAACCACCCATCCTCCCTCTCGGTCTCTCACCCCAATACCACTCCTGCACGATCCGCTTCCCAGCTCTACTCGTCTGCCCCTGGCCCTTCTTACGAATCCCCCCCTCGCTCCCCACCGCTTTCCCCCCTCGGATCCTCCCCCGCCTCCTCCCCTCGCTCCCCGCCGCTCACGCCGCCTCGTAATATCCGCCGCCGCCGCTCTCTGCACATCCCGTCCCGCTCCATGCCGTCAGCTTTGGCTCGGCCGAACCGCCGCCATTCCACATGCGAGGATCGTCCGCTGAACATGACGCATCCCGCCGCCCGCCAGCCTGGCAGTGGCAGTGGTGGTGCTGGTGGTGGCAGTGGTGGTGGTCCCTTTGCTGGTGGTGCCAGTTCCCATGGCGCATCTGCTGCTACTCGTGCGTTTGCGCAGTCGCGCAGTTTGAATTCTAGCTCGTCTGCTGCCGCGGCGGCTGCTGCTGCCGTGAAAGCGGCTGCGGTTGCAAGGAGGGCGCAGGTTGGCATGGGGGAAGGGAAGTTGGGTGGTGGTGGGGGAGCGAAGGCTGGAGGGCATTTGGGTGGTGGCGGTTGTGGCAGTGGCAACTGTAATGGTGGTGGTGATGGCAGCGGTGGTGGTGATGTGGGAGAAAGGGTGTTTAACAGAGCACGAACACAGCCAACAGAGCGGCCATCTGCAGGCAGAGGGCGGTGAACTTATGTTTTATTTTGTAATTAACTGCACTGTATGATATGTGAAGTACTCTACGCTGCTGAGTGCAGTTGGTGTTTTCAACATTACACCCTGTTTCTCGCTACACTGAACTGTGCCGAACAGGTGCAAAACCTTGTTATCCTCGATTTGCTAAATTGAACCTCACTGAAACATAAATTAATCACCGTGAACCGTGCTTTTCCCATCTTGACTCCATTATAACCGAATTCACAAATGGCGAGAAAGAGGGTGTACATCAATCTTATGGCCAGTACCGTTATGCTAAAGTACAATATCAACAACCAGCTGTCACCCTGCAATTATGCTAAATATGCTTGCGTCAGCTGGCTCAATATGAAGCTTCGTGGCTCTGCTCTTGAATTGACATTCTCGAGGAGGCACTTTCCGCCGACCAATCAAGACAAGTCGTTAAGCCTCCCGCGCACCGCTTCTGACATGAAACTTCTGGGGGTTACGTCTCTAACGCCGAGTGAAAAGCCGCCACGTAGGCATGTACTAATTTTGTAACCGAACTTCCACATGGGGTGATGAATGGTGGTGGTGCGACGTCGGCATGGAAGTGATCGGATGGTCAGAGAGGGTACACGCCCTCCGAGCTGCTGACGTAACGCATCTTAGCCGCACATCTCACCCACGAAATCATTTGTCACCTACTGTGTAGTGAACATGCCTCGGGACTGGACTGGATTCCTTGGGAACTTGACATGATGGTGGTGGTGGGCCAGAGGGAAAGTGAGGGTCAGGGAAAGTGTGCTGTGTTTCGCTTGGTCACTGTAGTACGTCGAGCTGATTGCAGCATATCTAGGCACCAGCGTCTAGTCTCTAGAGAGCAACTTTGGCTAGGAATTCAGTTAGTGCTGCTCGGGCACTAGAGCGTACCGCTATTCGTTTTCTGATTCTTGATTATTCTCAAGCTTGAGCTCTTAACATCAGTGCGCTCGATCGAGGGTCCGAACAGCCGTCGCTAATTGCGCTGCTCCTCCCGCGACGTCTTGAATTCTTTTCTCGTCACGAGGTAAATAGCTTTCTCACGGTGGCAGTCTTGAGTCGGTCTCGAACCACGTCGCTTCAGTATTCCCCCCTTCTCGAAGATAGGAATAAGTTTCTCTTACTCGCAATTCGCTCCTTGCCGTGCCTGCTTCGAAGCCGCTCTATACCCCGACACGCGTGGGGATTAAACTACGGTTTACCGATTGTCATTTCCGCTAATTCTCGCCTTTCGCGGACAGACGATTGTAAACGCGCACCGGCTGTCGGCGCATCAGCTGTACTGCGAATAGGCTGCTAGCACACACCGTTTGTAGTGTACACCTGGTTGAGAGCTTCGAACTACAAAAAAAAGAAATCCGACGCTTACGTTTGTTGAGCGCCGTTTCTTACCCAGGGCTCGACGAGCACCGTTCATCATGGCTCGTCAGGAGCAACCTGGGGATCGCGGGAGCGACGAGGCCGAGAGGCTGCATCCAGACGGTCCGTTTGAAGGTATTTTTTTCGCGGATGGTCGCCCACGTGTCGTCTGAGGCGCAGTCCTTGGGAGTCACGTCTGTCAGACTCCGCGCTGCTTTCGCGGTTGGAGACAGGCAGCTCCTTAGATCGTCAGTTTTCTATGCGTCTCGAAACATGCTCGCGGCTGCAGAAAGGAGCGAAGTTTTTGGTACATCGTCTGTTCGTCTTTTGAGTTTCAATGAACTACTAGATGGATTTTCAATGCTGAAATTTTCAAGTCCAAGGCTCACTTCTCCTGTGCGTCCTGTCTCCTCCGCTAACCCCATGGCGACCTGTCCCTAACCTTATTTCTTGCTCCGACAGCCAATCACATCAACGGCCAAGCTAACGGCCATGCGGAGAGTCATGAAGGGAGTCGAATGCTAAACGGAGATTCTCACGTCGTGGTTGACGTTGACGGTAGCGTTAGCGGTATCGCACTGTCGACCAATGGAGCAGAGACTTCCGGGAAGCATTCAGCGAGGGATAGAGGCGGAAGAGGCGATGGGGGGGAGGAGGGGGGAGAAGGGGAAGATTGTGGCAGTGAAGGAGGAGGGGGAGGAGGAGGGAGAGGAGTGGGGGGCGTGTATCAACGCAAGAGCAAGGTGATGGATAAATGCCACACGATGAGCGGATACAACAGGAAGAACATCACCGATACAATCACAGTCAAGGTGAGACTCGATACAAGAGGGATTCGATACAAGCACAGTTGGATAAGAGGCACACGATGTGTGGGTACTGATACAATCACAGTTAAGGTGAGATTCGATACAAACACGTGCGCTACAAGGCGCAGACCGCCAAGGCTGACTCCTGGGATTCGCGCCACTCCTGCCTCCCCACGCTGTTCGCCCCCCTCTCAACTTGCCCCCTCCCCCTCCCATTCCCCCTCCCCACATCCCCCCCTTCCCCCATCCCCCCCTCTCTGCTCCCCCTTTCAGTTCGAGGACGTGCGCTACAAGGTACAAACCGCCAACGCGGGCTCGTTGGACCCGCCACTTCCGTTCCGTTCCCCCTTATTCCCTCCCAACACATCCCCCATCCCTCCTTCCCCCCTTTTCCCCCTTCCCCCCCTCCCCCCCGTCTCAGTTCAAGGACGTGCGCTACAAGGTACAAACCGCCAACGCGGGCTCGTTGGACCCGCCACTTCCGTTCCGTTCCCCCTTATTCCCTCCCAACACATCCCCCATCCCTCCTTCCCCCCTTTTCCCCCTTCCCCCCCCCCCCCCCCCCCCCCCCCCCCCCCCCCCCCCCCCCGTCTCAGTTCAAGGACGTGCGCTACAAGGTTCAAACCGCCAAGGCGGGTTCCTGGGATCCGCGCCACTCCTGTCTCCCCACGCTCCCGGCCCTCCCCGCGGTGCTCACCTCCAAGCGCGGGGGAACCGCAGGCGGGGGAGGCGCTGTGGGAGGCGCTGGGGGAGGCGCGGAAGCGGGGGCGGCGGGGAAAGCGGGCGCGGAGGTGCGGGAGAAGGAGATTCTGCACGGGATAAGCGGGAGTGTGGCGCCGGGGGAGGTGCTGGCGATGATGGGGCCGTCGGGGGGAGGCAAGACGACGTTTCTGAACGTGCTGGGGGGGCGGTTCAAGCAGGGCAACATGGCGGGCACGCTCACTTACAACGACCTGCCTTATAGCAAGGCGCTCAAGAGAAAGTAAGTTCCAGGGAGGGGATGGAGTGCGTGCGGTTAGAGGGCGTTTCTGAACGTGCTGGGCTGGCGGGGGCGGTTCAAGCAAGCAGGGGAACATGACAAGGACGCTGACGTATAACGACCTGCCTTACAGCAAGGCGCTCAAGAGAAAGTGAGTGCGGAAGGGGGTGAGTGTGGGAATGGGGGATAGTTAAAGGACGTTTCTGAACGTGCTGGGGGGGCGATTCAAGCAAGCAGGGCAACATGGCGGGCATGCTGACGTATAACGACCTGCATTACAGCAAGGCGCTCAAGCAAAAGTATGTGAGGGGGAGAGTGTGTGAGGGTAGTGGAGAGAATGTGAGGGAAGTGAGTGAAGGGAGAGGGTGAGTAGAGAATTGGAGGGCGGTTTGAGCTGGGCGGTTTGAATCAATGCACCCTGACCGTTCAGTCTCTGATTTCTGAGGCGCTGAACTAATGCACCCTGACCGTTCAGTCTCCGGCCGGTGTTCTCCCTTCTATCAGGCTCGGCTTCGTGACTCAGGACGACATATTCCTCCCGCACCTCACCATGTTGTGCGCGAGACCCTCATGTACGCCGCTGTGCTGCACTCAGCCTGCCCAAGGAGCTCAGCTCAGCTCCCTCTCCTTATCACTCCCTCTCTCCCTCCCTGCTTTCCTTCCTCTGCCTCTCGTTGCCTCTTGTTCCTCTTCCCCTTTTCTCAGGCTCGGCTTCGTGAATCAGGATGACATCTTCTTCCCGCACCTCATTTTGCGCGAGACCCTCATTTTACGCTGCTGTGCTGCGCCTGCCCAAGGAGCTCACCTCCCTCTCTCCCTCTCCCTGGTTCCCCCTTCTGCTTCTCTCGTTTCCTTACTGTTTCCCCCGTCTGCCTGCCACCCCCTCAGGCTTGAATTTGTGACTCAGGATGATAAATTCTTCCCACACCTGACTGTACAGGAGACCCTCATGTACGCCGCTGTGCTGCGCCTGCCTAAGGAGCTCACCTGCTCACCTGCCTCTCTCCCTCCCTGTTTCCCCCCTCTTCCTCTCTTGTCCTCCCCCATTTCCTCAGGCTGGGGTTCGTGACGCAGGACGATATATTCTTCCCTCACCTCACGGTCCGCGAGACCCTCATGTATGCTGCTGTGCTGCGCCTGCCCAAGGAGCTGAGCTGGGCGGAGAAGGTGCAGCGTGCTGATGAGACCATCACAGAGCTGGGCCTTGATAAGTGAGTGTGGTAATGCGGTTGGGATGGTTAAGAGGGGAATGGGAGCCAGGGTCTCATGGGGGCTCTGAAAGAGCTGAGCTGGGCGGACAAGGTGCAGCGTGCTGATGAGACCATCACTGCGCTGGGGCTTGATAAGTGACTGTGGTTCAACACGGGAGAGCCAGGAGAACTGAGGGTGCAGCGCAGGGTTCAGTAACCATGCGTTGGATGAGTCGACTCAAAACACGGGAGGGCCAGGAGAACTGGGGGTGCAGTGCAGGGTTCAGTAACCATGCGTTGGTATGTTATGCGGTCCTGGTGAGCTGAGCTGGGCGGACAAGGTGCAGCGTGCTGATGAGACCATTACTGCGCTGGGGCTTGATAAGTGACTGTGGTTCAACACGGGAGAGCCAGGAGAACTGAGGGTGCAGCGCAGGGTTCAGTAACCATGCGTTGGATGAGTCGACTCAAAACACGGGAGGGCCAGGAGAACTGGGGGTGCAGTGCAGGGTTCAGTAACCATGCGTTGGTATGTTATGCGGTCCTGGTGAGCTGAGCTGGGCGGACAAAGTGCAGCGCGCCGATGAGACCATCACTGAGCTGGGTCTTGATAATTGACCGTGGTGGATGGGTGGGTGGAAACATGGGAGAATTGGGAGAACAGGGGGTGCTGCAGGGTTCAGTAGGCATGTGATGTGTGCCATGCGGTCCTGGTGAGCTCAAATGGATGGTATGCTATGCAGGCAGTGGGGCAGCTCAAGCAAGTGAGCATACCCCCCAAGTGGAGCAGCAGCAGTGGGGCAAAATCGGACATGAAATCCTCATCAGCCCCTCCACGCTGCTGCTCGATGAATCCTCCCTAGAGCCTCTGAACCGCTTTGAACACCTCCTAGTCACCCTGAACCACTCTGAATCGGTCTTTTCCTCCTGAATTTGTCCACCCCACCCCCTCCGCTCTCCCAGGTGTCGAAACACTGTCATTGGGGGTCCGTTTCTGCACGGCATATCCGGGGGGGAGCGCAAGCGAGTGAGCATCGGGCATGAGATCCTCATCAACCCCTCCATGCTGCTGCTCGATGAACCCACCCTAGAGCCTCTGAACGGCTCTGAACCACCTTGGAGCGCTCTGAATCGCGCTTGACCGGTGTAAACTGTTCTCAATCGCTGGTCTCCCCCGGATTTTCCAAACCCACCCCCCTCTCCCCCTCAGATGTCGCAATACAGTGATTGGAGGGCCATTCCTCCGCGGCATATCCGGGGGGGAGCGCAAGCGAGTGAGCATCGGGCATGAGATCCTCATCAACCCCTCCATGCTGCTGCTCGATGAACCCACGTCTGGTCTCGACTCTACCACGGCTCTCCGCATCATTCAAGTCATTCAAAACCTCGCCAAATCGGGCCGAACCGTTGTTACTACCATTCACCAGCCGTCCTCCAGGCTGTTCCACGCGTTTGATAAGCTGCTGCTCTTATCGGAGGGCAACGCGATTTTTTTCGGGCAGGCTGCGGACGCGATGGGGTATTTCGGGCGGTTGGGATTTGAGCCGCTGTTTGCGATGAACCCGGCGGATTTCCTGCTGGATTTGGCGACGGGGACGACGGCGGATGTGCGGTTGCCGGGTGTGTTTGGGGAGAGCGAGGAGTGGCAGGAGAAGAGCGTTCTGGAGCAACAACACGACGTGAAGGAGGTGAGCTTGGTCTTTGGCCATCATTCATTCTTGCCGGGGACGACAGGGACGGGGACAGGGACGGGGATGACGGCGGATGTGCGGTTTCCGGGAGTGTTTGGGGAGAGCGAGGAGTGGCAGGAGAAGAACGTTCCCGAGCAGCAACATGACGTCAAGGAGGTGAGCTGGTCTCCATTTCATCCATACACAAGTCTCTTAATTCAAGGTTTCGGGTGTTGGGTTTGGGAGCAACAACACGACGTGAAAGAGGTGAGCCATTTTTTTGGCGAAGAAAAAGAAGCGAAAAAATTGTGCCTCTCTTTTATTCTCCTTTCACCTTATCTCCCTTTTGTGCCGTGTCTGTAAGTTGGAAAGGCCCCCCCCTATTCCCAATTCCCATCTCCAATCCCTGTCTGATCCCCAATCACACTCTCAATCCCAGTTCGTGGCCCGGGTTCACAGGGAGCAGCAGCAGCCGCTGGTGCACTTTCGAGTCAACTAATTCCCTCCCATTCCCATCCCACCAATTTCCGTTCTTATTCCCGTTTCCTATCCCCCATTTCAATCCCAGTTCGTGGCTCGAGCGCACAGGGAGCAGCAGCAGCCGCTGGTGCACTTTCGAGTCAACTAATTCCCTCCCATTCCCATCCCACCAATTTCCGTTCTTATTCCCGTTTCCTATCCCCCATTTCAATCCCAGTTCGTGGCTCGAGCGCACAGGGAGCAGCAGCAGCCGCTGGTGCATGCTGAGCTGGCGGGGCTGCCCACCAGCTCAGATGCCGACCAGAAGAGCGTGCTGCAGCGGCGGGGGTGGACGGCGCCGTGGCTGCTGCAGTTCTCGGTGCTGTGGACGCGCGGGCTCAAGGAAAGGAGACACGAAGTGTTATCACCCCTTAGGTTCTACCAGGTCAGTTGCTTGGGTGGTGGTCCGTGTGAGTGAATTAAAGGAGGGTGGTGGTGGGGTGGACGGCGCCGTGGCTGCCGCAGTTCTCGGTACTGTGGACGCGCGGGCTCAAGGAGAGACGGCATGAAGTCCTGTCACCTCTCAGGTTCTATCAGGTGAGTGAGGAACAAAAACCCCACAAGAGGACTCGTGGGTATTGCTGAAAAGATGGTTGCGGTGTCATGTGCCATTGCGGTGACAGCGCCGGGCTTCATTGGTGTCACGTGCCATTGCGGTGACAGCGCCGGGCTTCATCGGTGTCATGTGCCATTGCGGTGACAGCGCCCGGCTTCATCGGTGTCATGTGCCATTGCGGTGACAGCGCCCGGCTTCATCGGTGTCATGTGCCATTGCGGTGACAGCGCCCGGCTTCATCGGTGTCATGTGCCATTGCGGTGACAGCGCCCGGCTTCATCGGTGTCATGTGCCATTGTCCGCTGTGGTTTGGCTCGGAGCGCAACACTACCTCAGGCCCCCTCCTCATGCTGGTTGGCTTGCCACGTGCGGTACTATTCTCACTCATCCCCTCATCCCCTCCCTCACATCTACTCCCCCAGGTGACAGCGCTGGGCTTCATCTGTGGCATGCTGTGGTTCGGGTCGGAGTGCAACACTGCCTCATCCCCTCCTCATGCTGGCTTGCTTGCCACGTGCGGTACTATTCTCATCCCCTCCTCCCCTCCCGCCCATCCACCCCTCCAGGTGACAGCGCTGGGCTTCATGTGTGGCATGCTGTGGTTTGGGTTGGAGCGCAGCACTGCCTCATCACTCCTGCCGTTCTGCCCTGACCATGTCTCCACATCTGCCCCTCTCGTTTACCCCCCCAGGTGACGGCGCTGGGCTTCATCTGTGGCATGCTGTGGTTTGGGTCGGAGCGCAACACTGCCACAGAGATTCAGGACCAGGTGAGATGTCCGATGCAGGATCAGGTGGAAATTCAGATGGAGGATTGTGCGGGAAAAGAACATTGAGGGTTATGTGAAAACTCGAGTGGGGGATCAGACTAGAAAAGGGTGCAGAGTCAGGTGAAAGCCCAGATGTAGATAATTTGCGACTGCCGTTCTTCTGGGGATTCTTATGAGCTCTCATTTTGTCACCTTTCGTTCCGTATCATCAGCCCCCATTCTCGCCACAATTCCCCCTTCCATCCCCTGTGATTCTCACCAGGTGGGCTTGCTATTTTTTATATCCATCTTCTGGGGGCTTCTTCTCTCTCTTTGCATCCCTATCACTGTGAACCTTCTCATTGATTGGCGGCAAACCCCCTTTCTCATCACCACCCCACGCCCCTCTTCCATCACGCGTTCATTTTCATAACCATCACCAGGTCGGACTGCTCTTCTTCATTTCCATCTTCTGGGGCTTCTTCCCGCTCTTCCCATCCTTGTCTCCTCCCTTCAAATCCCTTTATGCTCCCACCCCTCCCCACCATCACCAGGTCGGACTGCTCTTCTTCATCTCCATCTTCTGGGGCTTCTTCCCTCTCTTTGCCGCCATCTTCACCTTCCCCCAGGTCAGCCTCCTCCCCCCAACCCCACCCCCATCCCCCCAACGGAAAAAAAAAAAAAAAAAAAAAAAAAAAAAAAAAAAAACCCTATCTTTGCTGCTTGTTTGCTGCTTCCCACACTCTTCCTCATCTTCCTCTCACTGCATTGAACCGCATTCCACCTTTGCACTGCATGCCACCGTACTGTACCTCAGGAGCGCTCCATTCTAGCCAAGGAGAGAGCGAGCGACATGTACTGGCTGTCAGCCTACTACCTCAGTCGCCAGCTCTCAAACCTCCCCATGGAATGGCTGCTGGCTCTTCCTCATCTCCGTTTGACCCCATTCCACCGCCTTCCACCCCTTCCCACCGCATTTCACCACATTCCACCGCATTGTACCACATTGTACCGCACTGCATCGCAGGAGCGCTCCATTCTAGCCAAGGAGAGGGCGAGTGACATGTACCAGCTGTCAGCCTACTACCTCAGCCGCCAGCTCTCTGACCTCCCCATGGAGTGGCTGCTCCCCACACTCTTCCTCCTCATCTGCTACTTCATGGCGAACCTCAAGCTCACTGCAGCGGCCTTCTTTGGCCTCCTCTTCTCAACCTACCTCATCGTCACCACGGCTCAGGTGAGAGGAGGATGTGGGGTGCTGTGTAATGCTCTCTGTTTCTCTCTCCCCAGCTGTATGACCTCCCCATGGAGTGGCTGCTCCCCACGCTCTTCCTCCTCATCGCCTACTTCATGGCTTCCCTCAAGCCCACTGCCGGGGCCTTCTTTGGTCTCCTCTTCTCAACCTACCTCATAGTGACCACAGCTCAGGTGGGTGGGGATGTGTGTGGTTCGGTGCAGTGCTCTTTCCTTCTCCCGTGAGTCATGTCATGTGCCTTAGCCTTTCTCCCCACGCTCTTCCTCCTCATCTGCTACTTCATGGCAAACCTCAAGCTCACTGCCGGGCCTTTTTCGGACTGCTCTTCTCAACCTACCTCATAGTCACCACGGCTCAGGTGGGTCTTGTCAAATGCTGCGCTGCTCCTCCCCTCCCCACGCTCTTCCTCCTCATCGCCTACTTCATGGCCTTCTCAAGCCCATTCACTTCAATTCCATCCCTCTCTTTCCTGATTTTCCCTCGCAGGGCTGCGGGCTCTGAGGTGACCTTTGAGTCGACTCAAAGGCAGACAGTGAAAATGGATGAATAGACATACCCAGCACTGGCAACTCACATCCTTGAAATGGATGAATAGACATACCCAGCACTGGCAACTCACATCCTTGAAATGGATGAATAGACATACCCAGCACTGGCAACTCACATCCTTGAAATGGATGAATAGACATACCCAGCTTTTGAGTCGACTCAAAAGTCACTTCAATTCCATCCCTCTCTTTCCTGATTTTCCCTCGCAGGGCTGCGGGCTCTGTTTGGGAGCAGCAGTGATGGACGTGAAAGTCGCAACGTTCATGCTGGCAGGAGGATACTACCTGCAAACCATCCCCACCTTCTATGCTCTCATGCATGCTCTCCTGTCGCCCTCTTGCCTGATGTGTACCATCCCATGCAGGGCTGCGGGCTGTTCCTGGGAGCAGCGGTGATGGACGTGAAGGTTGCAACGGCACTCGCCTCGGTGCTCCTCCTGACGTTCATGCTCGCAGGAGGAAACTACCTGCAAACCATCCCCGCCTTCATCGCATGGATCAAGTACATCTCATTCACCTACTACGCGTACCGCCTCATCATCAAAACCCAGTTCTCCCCTTTCCTCTCCCCCTCTCGCCTCATGTTTCCCCTTTCCCCTCGCAGGGCTGCGGGCTCTTTTTAGGAGCAGCAGTGATGGACGTGAAGGTTGCAACGACACTCGCGTCAGTCCTCCTCCTCACCTTCATGCTCGCAGGAGGATACTACCTGCAAACCATCCCCGCCTTCATCGCATGGATCAAGTACATCTCCTTCACCTACTACGCGTACCGCCTCATCATCAAGACCCAGTTCTCGCCCTCCGATACCTTTGAATGCGGCCCGCCAAGCGATCCGAGTGCCATCATCTGCCCGATTTCGGACGCGCCGTCGTTCCGGGGGTTCTCGCTGGGAGACGCGTGGGTGGATGTGCTGGCGTTGCTGGCGCAGGTGGTGTTTTATCGCACGCTTGGGTACTTTGCCCTGAGGAGGATGAAGACGAATGTATAGCAAAGGCTCGTGTAGGCACCCGTGCCGCTGCTACACATGTGTGTTCCTGTGGCGGCTCTTGAGGCGCCTCAAAAGTCGCCTCAAAAGTCGCTGCTACACATATATTGATGTGGCGGGGCGGCTCTATCGCTGCTACACATTCAGGTGGCGTTTTATCGCACGCTTGGGTACTTGCCCTGAGGAGGATGAAGACGAACGTGGCGCAGATACCGTATGGTGATTCTGTGATATTCAGACTGCCTGAGTCGCTGCTGTCCAGGGGTTCTCGCTGGGAGATGCGCTAGTGGATGTGGTGGTGTGCTGGCTCAGGTGGTGTTTTATCACATCCTTGAGTACTATGCCCCGAGGAGGACAAAAAGCAACGTTTAGAGGGGAAGGGGTGCTGCAGAAGTGTATTCCTGCTTTTTTTTTCCTCTTCCTTTCAAGTTTGCTGTGCTGTTCTGTGTAGCCATCTGTAAAAAAAACCACTATAATGTTGGATTCTCTAAAATGTTACAAACTGTATTATGTGAGCAGCAATAGATTATAGCAAACTACTTCGCCAGTTATATCATCATCTGCATACTTGTAGCGTATTATCATTGTCCTAACATCATTAATTTCCGTCACTACCCTCCTCTTCCCTCTCCTTGGTCCATATCATGCACAGCATCCTCCTCATCACCATCCCCATGATCACCCTCGTTCTCCCCTCCCGCATCCCACTCATTATCCTCCTCCTAACATCATTCGTCCTCGTCACTATCCTCCTCGTCCTCCTCTTCCATATCACCCACAGCATCCTCCTCATCCTCATCATCCTCCCCTCCTCCCCCATCATCCTCGTCGTCATCAAGCTCCCCAATGGCAATCCCTTCGGGGTCAAAGGCCATGGGCGCCTGTAGGCAAGTAGGCAAGAAGGGGAGATGCATGGGGCACAGGGCATGAGTCATTATCATTGTCCTCCTCCTCCTCATCCTCATCATCCTCCCCTCCTCCCCCATCATCCTCGTCGTCATCAAGCTCCCCGATGGCAATCCCCTCAGGGTCAAACGCCATGGGCGCCTGTTAGAGTATTGGGAGTGGGGGGAGGGGATGGGAAAGGGCAACGCGGTGGTGAGGCAATGGGGGGAGATGCATGCGGCATGAGACATCATCACCCCCGTCCTCCTCCCCATCCTCGTCGTCATCCAGCGCCCCGATGGCAATCCCTTCAGGGTCAAACGCCATGGGCGCCTGTTGGTATGGGATCAAGGGAGAGGGGGTATGGGGGATAAGGTATGGGGCACAGGGCATGTGACATCATCTGCCTCATCATCCTCCCCCCCCCCCATCCTCATCATCGTCATCAAGCTCCCCCAATGCCAATGCCCTCGGGGTCAAACGCCATGGGCGCCTGTGGTGGGAACAACAAGAGAGGGAAGAGCGGGATGGGAAAGCAATGAGCCGTGGGGCATGGGGTGTGGGGCAAGGGGTGTGGGGCATGGGGTGTGGGGCATGGGGTGTGGGGCATGGGGTGTGGGGCATGGGGTGTGGGGCATGGGGTGTGGGGCATGGGGTGTGGGGCATGGGGTGTGAGGCATGGGGTGTGGGGCATGGGGTGTGGGGCATGGGGTGTGGGGCATGGGGTGTGGGGCATGGGGTGTGGGGCATGGGGTGTGGGGCATGGGGTGTGGGGCATGGGGTGTGGGGCATGGGGTGTGGGGCATGGGGTGTGGGGCATGGGGTGTGGGGCATGGGGTGTGGGGCATGGGGTGTGGGGCATGGGGTGTGGGGCATGGGGTGTGGGGCATGGGGTGTGGGGCATGGGGTGTGGGGCATGGGGTGTGGGGCATGGGGTGTGGGGCATGGGGTGTGGGGCAAGGGGTGTGGGGCATGGGGTGTGGGGCAAGGGGTGTGGGGCATGGGGTGTGGGGCATGGGGTGTGGGGCATGGGGTGTGGGGCATGGGGTGTGGGGCATGGGGTGTGGGGCATGGGGTGTGGGGCATGGGGTGTGGGGCATGGGGTGTGGGGCATGGGGTGTGGGGCAAGGGGTGTGGGGCATGGGGTGTGGGGCATGGGGTGTGGGGCATGGGGTGTGGGGCATGGGGTGTGGGGCATGGGGTGTGGGGCATGGGGTGGGGGCATGGGGTGTGGGGCATGGGGTGTGGGGCATGGGGTGTGGGGCATGGGGTGTGGGGCATGGGGTGTGGGGCATGGGGTGTGGGGCATGGGGTGTGGGGCATGGGGTGTGGGGCATGGGGTGTGGGGCATGGGGTGTGGGGCATGGGGTGTGGGGCATGGGGTGTGGGGCATGGGGTGTGGGGCATGGGGTGTGGGGCATGGGGTGTGGGGCATGGGGTGTGGGGCATGGGGTGTGGGGCATGGGGTGTGGGGCATGGGGTGTGGGGCATGGGGTGTGGGGCATGGGGTGTGGGGCATGGGGTGTGGGGCATGGGGTGTGGGGCATGGGGTGTGGGGCATGGGGTGTGGGGCATGGGGTGTGGGGCATGGGGTGTGGGGCATGGGGTGTGGGGCATGGGGTGTGGGGCATGGGGTGTGGGGCATGGGGTGTGGGGCATGGGGTGTGGGGCATGGGGTGTGGGGCATGGGGTGTGGGGCATGGGGTGTGGGGCATGGGGTGTGGGGCATGGGGGGTGTGGGGCATGGGGTGTGGGGCATGGGGTGTGGGGCATGGGGTGTGGGGCATGGGGTGTGGGGCATGGGGTGTGGGGCATGGGGTGTGGGGGGCATGGGGTGTGGGGCAATGGGGTGTGGGGCATGGGTGTGGGGCAAGGGGTGTGGGGCATGGGGTGTGGGGCATGGGGTGTGGGGCATGGGGTGTGGGGCATGGGGTGTGGGGCATGGGGTGTGGGGCATGGGGTGTGGGGCATGGGGTGTGGGGCATGGGGTGTGGGGCATGGGGTGTGGGGCATGGGTGTGGGGCATGGGTGTGGGGCAATGGGGTGTGGGGCATGGGGTGTGGGGCATGGGGTGTGGGGCATGGGGTGTGGGGCATGGGGTGTGGGGCATGGGGTGTGGGGGCATGGGGTGTGGGGCATGGGGTGTGGGGCATGGGGTGTGGGGCATGGGGTGTGGGGCATGGGGTGTGGGGCATGGGGTTGTGGGGCATGGGGTGTGGGGCATGGGGTGTGGGGCATGGGGGTGTGGGGCATGGGGTGTGGGGCATGGGGTGTGGGGCATGGGGTGTGGGGCATGGGGTGTAGGGCATGGGGTGTGGGGCATGGGGTGTGGGGCATGGGGTGTGGGGCATGGGGTGTGGGGCATGGGGTGTGGGGCATGGGGTGTGGGGCATGGGGTGTGGGGCATGGGGTGTGGGGCATGGGGTGTGGGGCATAGGGTGTGGGGCATGGGGTGTGGGGCATGGGGTGTGGGGCATGGGGTGTGGGGCATGGGGTGTGGGGCATGGGGTGTGTGGCATGGGGTGTGGGGCATGGGGTGTGGGGCATGGGGTGTGGGGCATGGAGCATGTGGCGTGTGGTGCGCATGGGAATGAAGGGAGAATGGTGCCCTGCGCACCGTACCATGCCAGGACTATGACAGCAGCATTCCCTATCGGTGAACATGAATGACTGGGGGTGAACATGAATGACTGGGGGTGAACATGAATGGGGGTGAACATGAATGAATGGGGGTGAACATGAATGAATGGGGGTGAACATGAATGAATGGGGGTGAACATGAATGAATGGGGGTGAACATGAATGACTGGGGGTGAACATGAATGAATTGGGGTGAAAATGTGTGGTGCGCATGGGAATGAAGGGAGAATGGTGCCCTGCGCGCCGTACCATGCCATGCCAGTACTATGACAGCAGCATTCCCTATCGTGCAGCATTCCCTATCGCCCTATCTGGCCAACAATACACCCCACACGATGCTGTCAGGACAGCAGACATTGCATACCAACCACCACCGCATCACACCGCTCTATCATTGCTCATCTCGTCACCCTTGTCCGACCCCTTGAGATTCGACTGTCCCAGCTGAAAGCTATCGGCCAACAGGGACCACGTCGGCTCCTCTGCTAGGACATGGGGCATCACTCCTTGGATACCAACCACCACCGCATCACACCGCTCTATCAGTCCTCACCTCGTCGCCCTTGTCCCACCCCTTGAGATTCGACTGCCCCAGCTGAAAGCTATCGGCCAATAGGGACCACGTCGGCTCCTCTGCTGCCGCTGCTGCTGACGTGGCAGCCTCTGGCTTAGCCTGTGGAAGGATTGATGAGAGAAGGGGGGGAGCAAGAAGAGGTTCCAGTTAGGGCCATCAAAGAGGATGGCGAGGAGTCCCTGAGTAAGAAAAGCGGATGAGAAATCTGCACGGTCTGCGGCAGCACAGCTGTGCTCCTCGGCAACAGGCAGAGGAAGGGTCAAGAGAAGGGGAGGGAGCAAGAAGAGCGCTCATCTTGCCTCCTTGCTTTGCAGCAGCACCAGCAGCGCCACCAACTCAGTCTCCTCGTTTACACTAGTCAAGGGCTTACCTTGCCTCCTTGCTTTTGAGTCGACTCAAAAGTCACCTCGTTACCATGGCACTCGTTTACACTAGTCAAGGGCTCACCTTGCCTCCTTGCTTTGCAGCAGCACCACCGATGCCACCAATGCCAGGTGTTGCTGTTGAGCCTCTTAGTTCCGTCAGGAATGCTGCCTTAGTCTTTTTATCCGAATCTGAAGGGAAGTGCAGCGGAAAAAGAACGCAGAAAACACGTGTGTAGGGATGAATGGGCGTGAGCAGGAATGGGGGTGAACATGAATGGGGGTGAACATGAATGGGGGTGAACATGAATGCGGGTGAACATGAATAGGGGTGACCATGAATGGGGGTGATCATGAATGGGGGTGAACATGAATGAACACCATCATAGGATAATCATGTGTGTGTCACACATGTGTTTCAATAGTTCGTAAAACCGGCTCCAATAGAGAATGAGTGGGCGTCTGCATGAGTGGAAGTTGGAACACCGGCTGGAACGGGTACCTTTGCTGGAAGCTTGCTTCTGCACCTTTTGGACCTTGCTGACCTGACCTGGGGGAGTGGAAACGATTCTTTAGTAAATGTAGAAATTACCTTTGGTGGAAGCTTGCTTCTGAACCTTCTGGGCCTTGCTGACCTGGGGGGGGGGCGAAAGAGGGAAAAGAAGGTCTCACGTTAGGGCGCAGATAGTAAAGGGTGGTGAGAGAGGGATGAGAGTGAGTAGAAGGTGGAGTGAGGGGCGGGGAGAAGTAAATGAGAATGTTTGAGAAGTGAGTGTGCATGGGGGAGTGGACGCGATAGGGACAAGTCACAAGGGCAATGTGAGGAGGGGATGGAAGGGCACACGGGATAGGGGAGGGACACACGGGATAGGGGACACACAGGCACGGAGGACACACAGGCACGGAGAACACACAGGCACGGAGGACACACAGGCACGGAGGACACACAGGCACGGAGAACACACAGGCACGGAGGACACACAGGCACGGAGGACACACAGGCACGGAGGACACACAGGCACGGAGGACACACAGGCACGGAGGACACACAGGCACGGAGGACACACAGGCACGGAGAACACACAGGCACGGAGGACACACAGGCACGGAGGACACACAGGCACGGAGGACACACAGGCACGGAGGACACACAGGCACGGAGAACACACAGGCACGGAGGACACACAGGCACGGAGGACACACAGGCACGGAGAACACACAGGCACGGAGGACACACAGGCACGGAGGACACACAGGCACGGAGGACACACAGGCACGGAGGACACACAGGCACGGAGGACACACAGGCACGGAGGACACACAGGCACGGACGCACCGCATTGAAGAGCCGAACCACTGTTGCCGGCAGGTGGAGTGGCGTCATATGGAATGGGGTGGGGTGGATCGGAATGGGATGGGCAGAAGGAGCACACAGCAGAAAAGAAGGGGGGGCGCCTCAGATTGAAAGGCGCCTCAGATTGAGGGGCAGGTGGCAGGGTGCTTGAGGTTGGCAGGTGTAAACGTTGGCATATCTCGCAGCAATGCACAATGAGTAACTCTTAAGAACTATCAAGGAACTTTCAAAGGGCTGAGAGTGATTGTGAGAGAGAGAGAGAGAGAGAGAGAGAGAGAGAGAGAGAGAGAGAGAGAGAGAGAGAGAGAGAGAGAGAGAGAGAGAGAGAGAGAGGAAACCCCTTAGCCCTCTGCCCTCTGCCTCATCCCTCTGCCCTCCGCCCTCCAGAGCTATTTAAGGGCTGTTCCTCTCTCCTTCTCCTCATTATTTTCGTGTGGAGTTCATTTCCAGCGAGAGAGCGAGAGAGAGAGAGAGAGGAAACCCCTTAGCCCTCTGCCCTCTGCCTCATCCCTCTGCCCTCCGCCCTCCAGAGCTATTTAAGGGCTGTTCCTCTCTCCTTCTCCTCATTATTTTCGTGTGGAGTTCATTTCCAGCGGCTCGCGCCGGCGGCCTTCGGCCGCCGCCGCTCGCCAGCGCGGCCTTCGGCCGCGCGCTCCTGGTGGCAAGGAACAAGGCGGTGGATTGCTATACCAGGAAGAACACGCATGCAAAGGAATCAAGGGAGAAGAGCCTAGGCAAGAGAAAACGGCATGCAATACTACACGCGGCGGAGGCCTACATCGTGTACGGCTCCGCCCCCTCCATCTCAAGCATCGAGCGCATGCACGCCGATACCGCAAGAAGGAGATGCGCCGATGACTGGAGCATGTCCAGGGGGGTCCCGGCCTGAGCAGCCCCTACGAGATCCCCCACGTGGCGGGGGAAAGTACGGGCTAAGGGAGCTACCCCGGCGGGCGCTTCCGACACGGGCGCCAACGGCGACTCGAGCGATTCTGCCAAAGTCACGCAGGATCCTCGGGATCCTGGACCGAAACTGCTCGGAAAGTTCCGGGTGGCCCCACACACCGCCAGCTGCAAGTTCGCCACCACCTCGCTCGCCTCCGCCAGATTCAATATCCGGCACATGGTCAGCATGGGGTCTCTCCCCGCTGGATTGGGGAGAGGTGCAGTCTGCTCTTCGCGCGGAAACGACGCCGACCAGCCAGGAACGCGGCCAACAGTCAAGCGCCCAGCAGAGAAGCCAGGAACCTGACGAGGGGAGCGATACTCGGATCTCCCCACCCGCGCGGGTAGATACTCGGACAGCATCGGCGCGCGCAAGGGCGCCACCTGGCCGGGATCCGCTGCAAAGGGAGGCCCATTCGTCACCTCGATGTGAACGTGAGTCGGCCCCCCGCTGGCCCTGGCCTGCCGCACCACATCCACGAATGTGTTCGCAGCGTGATCAAGAGCAGGATCCGGCTGGCGGCCAGATGAGCCGCGCCCTCCGCCGTTCCGCCGGCCCCGCCGCCCAGCGGATCCACCCGAATTCGGACGCGGAGGGGACTGCTCGCGGCGACCCGACTCCCAGCGACGCCCAGGCGAGCCCCTCCCCCGCGTCGCCGGAGCTCGCCGCGGCGATTGTTGAGCGGGGGATCGCGCTCGGGGTGAGCGCTGGCCTGCTCGACCTCGGGGGGACGGGCGCCGAGGAGAGCGAGGACGCTCAGGGGAACGCTGATCCCCCTCCCTGCGCTGATAATGCTCGCGACGCGCGGGAGAAGGGCGACGAGGAGACGGCTGCCATGGGGGCTGACGCTGAGGCGAGCGCACGCGCTCCTGCGGCTGCTGACCGTCTGGACGGTTTGACGCAACACGCGCAGGAGCCCACGAATACTCAGGGGAGGAGGGGCGCGCGGCTGGCTGATGGGGAAGAGTCTGCACCCGCTCGAAGCGGCGGACGGGCTCGCTTGCGGAGGGATGCGCAAGAAGACGCGGCCGAGGCTCGGCAGGTGCAAGCTCCCGCGGCGCGCTCTCCACGGAATGCTCAAGCGCCGGATCCCGTCTGCGGACGGGTCCATCACTCCCGACCGTAGCGCAGCAGATGCCAGCGCGCCGACGAGGCGAGGACGAGACGACCACGGCGCCGCAAGCTGGGCGCGAGGGAGCCGCGGTAGCAAGAGCAACGCGCGGAATCCGCGTCGGACGCGGCAATCGCCGCGGACGAAGGGATAGCGAGCGTGGACGGAGAGGCGGGGGTACGCGGGGCACAAACAGACGTCGCACAGGAGCCAGTGGCTTCGCGAGAAACGCGGAGAGGCTGATACGACAGAGCGCAAGAGGCGGCGAGGAGGAACTTCGCGAGGAGACAGAGGAGGCTGCGGAGAATGAGGGAAGTGACGAGGGTGACCCCTTATTTAACCCTGAAAGAGAGGGGTTGCTAGTGGCAGAAGTCGAGGAGGATGAAGAGGAGTTGGATCGCCTACTCCAGGGAGAGGAGGTACCCAGCCCACGTGCCCGAGGCGAACCTGCCAACCGAACCACATCCGAAGGTGTGGGGCAAAACCCAAACCCGCGCTGAGCCGCATCTGCAACTCCAACCCCCAGAAATCGGACCGCGAGACCAAACCGAGCCGCCCCCAACATTGCGGTTACCACCGCCCCAGCCAGTAACGAGGGCCCAACGCCTGCCACCCCCGCCCCAATCATCAGCGCTGGCATCCTGGCGGGTCGTCAAGACCTTTTCGCTGACATCGCCAACTGGGACCTCGACCCGCTGCGCGACAGCAGACAGCCACCCCTTGCCCGCTACCCACCTCGCCCACTTCGCGAATCCTTCGCCATCTGCCTGCTGACCCCACTTCTGCACCTCGCCAAAAACCCTGATTCCACATCTGGCTGGAAGCTGCTGATGTTTCTCCCGCGAATTCTCCTGCGCTCGTCATCTGCACGAAAACCAGACTGGAAGGCAATGGGCGACAGACTGACGAGATTTCGCCAAGGGCACTGGCGCGGCCTTTACGACGAGGCGGCAGATGCAGTGAACAACAACCCCCAACCACGCCACATACCTGACACCACGGGAAGGCTGGCGAGAGCCGAGGGGTTGGCGAAAAGGGGAAATCTAGCGAAGTCCCTCCAGTCGCTAACTGCCACGCCCGTCTGCTCGCCAACCCCTGACGTATTGAGTGCGCTCACGGCCAGGCACCCAATGGCCACCACGGCTATCCCAGACTGGGTGCAAGACTTTGCCCCTGAGTCTCTGCCCTCAATCACAGCTCGCGATTTCAGGAAACTGCTCGCCCGCTGCCCCAACGGCGTAGGAGCTGGGCCATCTGGGACTACCTTCGAGCACCTGAGGGATGCGGCCCGTGGGAACGCCGACGTCCTCTTGCAACTGCACGCGCTTACCAACACGGCGCTAGCGGGTAAACTGAACGCCGAGGCTGCAGATCTACTCACCGCTTCGCGTCTACTCGCCTTCACGAAACCCCAAGGCGGAACTAGGCCAATAGCCGTGGGTGAATGTCTGCTGCGTATTGTCACCAAGGCGGCGCTCTTCCTGGCCGCTCCTGCAGCGCGCGACCACTTCACCCCGCTACAATTCGGTGTGGCGATCGCCGGGGGCATCGAGGCAGCGATACACGCGGCCCGCACCTACCTGGAGGAGTACCCTGGAGCAACGGCCCTCCAGATTGACCTGGCAAACGCTTTCAATGCCGTGGAGCGCGCGGCGGTGTTTGAAGGACTGAAAGGCACGAAGCTTGACACCCTGGTCCCCCTCGTCCGCCTCTCCTACAGCCGCCCATCAGCCCTCTACCTCGATCACGATTTCGAGGCGGCGCCTCTACAAAGCGCGCGAGGCGTCCGCCAGGGCGACCCACTGGGTCCTATGCTGTTCGCGGCCAGCATCCATCCCTGTCTCGCTGCAACGGCGACGGCCCACCCAGAGGTGGTGCTCCTCGCGTACGCAGATGACATCACCCTGCTAGGCGAGACTGCGAGCTGCACGGCGGCCTTCAATCACCTCACGGAAGCCCTTCTCAGCCACGGCCTGTCCCACAACCCCGCGAAATGCGAAGCATGGTCCGCCACAGCCCTGGAGCCCGCCGCTCTGCCCCACGGCGTCACAATCTCACGGGACGGGATCCGAGTCTTGGGCAGCCCGATTGGGCCCCCCGCCGGCTGCGCTGCCCGAGTGCGGGAACGCCTTACTGCTGCTGCTGAACCGCTCCCGCTCCTCTCCCAGATGGACCCGCAACTCTGCCTGCTCCTACTTACCCGCTGCATGAGCCGCCGCGCTTCGTTCATGGTCAGGTCCACGCCGCTCGAAGCCCTACCACTGAGGGAATGGACCGCCTGGGGGGAAGAACTGTTCCATACCTACCTTGCCGCAGCACACACAGAAATCCCCAGAGCCCGGGTCGAGAGGGAGAGGATTTGGCACCAGGCCGCCCTGCCCGCGTCCCTGGGAGGCCTGGGCATCACCAACCCTGCAGTGGAGGGGGGATACGCTTACCTGGCAGCAGTCACTGCTGCTGCACACCTGCTGCGCTCCTTCGGCGACGCGGCAAACCCTGCTCTCACTGGACTCCTGCCGCTAATGGACTCCAACGAGGAATCTACGTCCCCCCTCCCAAGGCGCCTTGCCGCTTTGGAAGCCGAGCTGCCTCCTGAGGGGATCGAGGCTCTACAAGTGGGGAGACAGAGACCGGACGGGCCAAAGCTCCAACAGTCGCTCTCCCTCGCGGTTCAAACTGCAAGGTTCATGCAACTGCTCGAGAGCTCGCGGGAGATGGAGCTCAACCCACTGTTCGGACACACGCAGCGGCTGCAGTCCCTTTTGGGCCCCGGCGCAGGGGACTGGCTGCTCGCCGTCCCGCTGATCTCCTCCCTCCGCCTCGGGCCCTCTCAGTTCTCCACGGCGGCCTCCTTCCGCTTAGGCCTGCCCCTACCAGTGCCCAGGCGCTGTGACTGCAGATACCGCACCACATTCCCCGACGACCGCCTACCGGACCATTTGATGCGGTGCGAGAAAGGGGGGGGGAGAATTGCAACCCACAATGCCCTTCGGGACGAGTGTGCAAAGATAGCTGCGGAAGCGGGCTTCACCGTGCATAAGGAGACAACGGCTTACTCACCGGTCGAAAACCTCAAAGCGGATATCTCTATCCGCCATCCAGACACCGGTGAGGTGTGGATCTGTGACATCACGGTCACGGACCCCATCTCCCTCCAGGACGAATACGCCCGTAAAGCCCCCGGTTGGGCTGCTCGAATGCAGGCGGACAAGAAGGCAAGCAAATACGCCAGGCGGAGCGCTTGGGTGGGCTTTTATGCCTTGGCGGTTGAGACCTACGGTTACCCCTCGAGTGGAGTCCTGGAATTCCTTCGCAGCTGCGCGGAGTTAGCGGCCATGCGGCGGTTCAACGCCACTCCCAAGTCGAGGGAATGCGCCAGGCTACTCACCGAGTACCGGCAGCGGTGGAGTGTGACCCTGCAGAGAGCGCAAGCCACTGCCCTCCGGGATAAGACCCATGAGGCCCTCACAGCGGATGTGCTCGGCCTGCAGGGCCCGTTCACTCCAATGAGCGAGGGGCAGCTGTATCAGTTGATAGAAGACCACTCCGGCCATTAGGGCCGGGCGGGGAGGGGGGGGGCTGGGGCTGGGGTAGTGCGGGGTTAGCGGTTGTTTTGATGTAGCCTTGCTGTGAGATTGCTGTAGCCTTACCATGTGTGTACCTTGCTGACATTAATACCAAGGACCGTTCGAGAGAGAGAGAGAGAGAGAGAGAGAGAGAGAGAGAGAGAGAGAGAGAGAGAGAGAGAGAGAGAGAGAGAGAGAGAGAGAGAGAGAGAGAGAGAGAGACATGCGGTGACTTTTGAGTCGACTCAAAAGTGTTGCGGGTGAGGTGAAGCCACGGGGGGGACAGAAACGACTTTTGAGTCGACTCAAACGTCACCTCATGTGTGAGAGAGAGAGAGAGACATGCGAAGAGACGTAGCACAGGCGAACACGCACGCACCCACTACATGCACCATGCTTTTCAGAATTCTCAAAAGTGATTTCAACGCACCCACCACATGCACCATGCTCCTCTCACCTCCCTTTGTCGCAATCTTCACCAGGGCTTTTTCCTTAGGGCCTAGAAACGGCTCTGGCAGCACATGCGCCATCTCCCTCTCCTGGCGTGCGGCACATTGGTGAAAAGGGAAGGGGAAGAAGGAGGAAAGGGGGAAAGGTTGGGGAACGGGGGTGGGTGGGGGGAGAGGGAATGAGGAATGCTGTTGAAACGGCTCTGGTAGGTAGCCCATGCGCCATCTCCCTCTCCTGGTGTGCACACAAGTGGGATTCGGGGAAGGTTCGGGCCGGGCGCCGGGGGAGGGGAGGGGGGGGAGGGGTTTGGGGTTGAAAGGGAGGGGTTTGGGGTTGAAAGGGAGGGGTTTGGGGTTGAAAGGGAGGGGGAGAGGGAATAAGGAATTCGTTAGTGAAACAGCTCTGGCTGGCAGCACGTGCGCCATCTCCCCCTCCTGGTGTGTGGGACGGGAAAGATTGGGGGGGGAAGGGAATGCAGGTAAGGGAAGGGAAAGGAGATGTGGAAAAGGGAAGGTTGGGGGGGTGAGGAAGAGGAAGGGAAAGGGTATGAGGATTGGTGCTTGTGAAATGGCTCTGGCAGCACATGTGCCCGTCTCCCTCTCCTGGTTGAGAGGGGGGGTTTGGGTGGGTGGGGAGGGGGTGGGGAGTGAAGGGGAGGGGGAGAGGGAATGAGTAACGGGCCCAGGAACGGCTCTGGCAGCACATGTGCCATCTCCCTCTCCTTCTGTGTACATGCGGGATACAAGAGACCTGGCACCCCACCCACTCACACACCATCATCTTCGCCTGCTTCCTCTCGGCTGCTGACGCTGCTTTGGCCTTTGCCTCCCCTTCTAAGGGCGCCCCAAGAACCAGCCCCCCTCACCCCTCCACTCACCATCAGCTTTGCCTGTTTCCTCTCAGCTGCCGACGCTGCCTTTGCCTTCGTCTCCCCTGCTGCCGCTGCCTTCCTCTCGCCTCCTCAACCTCTCTTTCCTAAACATCGGGGAAACGCCATCACTCCCTCCACTCACCATCATCTTCGCCTGTTTCCTCTCAGCTGCTGATGCTGCTTTCGCCTTCGCCTCCCCCGCCGCCGCCTTCCCCTCCTCCAGCAGCTTCTTGCGCGCTGCTAGGATGGGCGCCTGGGGGAGGGTTCAGGGGGGAAGGAGGCGGAAGGGGAAGGGTGGAGGAAGGCGGAAAAAAGGACTGGAGTGAATGAAGCTCGCTCTCCTGCCGCCGCCTTCCCCTCCTCCAGCAGCTTCTTGCGCGCTGCTAGGATGGGCGCCTGGTGGGAGGGAAGGGAAAGGGGGGAGACGAGGGGGCGGAAGGAGGGGGAATGAGCAGAGAAAGTACAGACGGCACCGCCACTCCCGCTTCTGCCTTCCCCTCCTCCAGCAGCTTCTTGCGCGCTGCTAGGATGGGCGCCTGGGGGAGGATTTGGGGGAGGCAAGGGGGGGAGGGGAGCAGGAACAGGAAAAATGCTACATGAGAGGAAGGATAAAGCACCTTGCCCTGCTGCCGCTGCCTTCCCCTCCTCCAGCACCCGGAACCCCGTTGCTCTCGCGCACCTTGCCGGTAACAGGGACCTTCTTCGCCATGATGCTCGCGAAGGCTGTTGCGAAAGATGATGAAGGGGCTGCTCCCGACCCTGCTGCTCCTGCGCCGTCCCCATCCCCCTCCTCCTCCTCTCCTTCCTCTCCTTCCTCCTCTCCTTCCTCCTCCCCTTCCCCACTCTCACTTCCGCTCAACTCATCCTCTTCACTTCCCTCCTCTCCCTCACTCTCCTCCTCTCCCTCACTCTCCTCCTCTCCCTCACTCTCTCCTGATCTTTCCTCATCCTCCTCCTCTACGTAATCCGCAAACCCCTCCTCTGCATCTCCCAACCCTTCTCCCCTAGAACCTTCCGAAGGAGATCCCGATAAACCCTGTCCCTTAACCCCCTTCTTGCGCGTAGTAGAGGAAGCGCCCTTTCTCTTTTCCCCCGCAGCCCCCCCCGTTCCCTTCCCCTTTCCCCCCGCGGTCCCCGCTCTTAGCGCAACAGCCGCTCCCGCCTCTAAAGCTCTTTTTTGTGATCTTCGATCCTCTACACCTCGCCCCTCGTTAGTGTCACCTCCGTCTAATAACAATCCTGCTTCTGCATCGTTAGACGCGTCGGCGTTTGCGGCTGAGTGAACGCCGCGTTTACGAGTTTTACCACCTGGTTCCTCATCGTCACTGCCACTATCGAAACGGTCTAAAAACGAGGACGACGAGGATAGCTGCTTCCGCTGTCGCTTATTTCCTTTACCGCCGTGACTACCGCCATGTTTCTCGCTTGTGCCGTCTAGGAACTCAACAATTCCCGCTTCAGCTGTCGTCATGGCTAGGCGGTGCAGAATGCGGGAGGAAACTTTTTGTGGGCAAACTAAAATAAGTATTGAAAACACAAAAGTCCACATCTGGACAGCTCTCGTAGCTCAGCTGGTTAGAGCGTATGGCTGTTAACCATAAGGTCGGTGGTTCAAGCCCACCTGGGAGCGTTTTACTTTTAAGTTTATGAGGTGCTTGGAGAGTTGACCATTTCGTGTTCCCATTCGACTAGAAGAATCCATAGCACACTAATCAACCAATCTAGTAGAGTTTTAGTAACTAAGGTCTGTCCGCACTAACCCCCGGTGTTTCCTGTTTGCACTAAAAAACTTCTGGACTTTCACTGGACGCACCTCTAGTTCTCGTATTCAAACACTTCTGGAGACCAGTACTCAAGGTTAGTTAGGTATGGTACGTGAATAGTAGTATTAATAGTAGTATTGAACAGGCAACTGTGCAGACCTGTACACACACTCACTGAGATGCTACAAGCAGTACGATTTACAGTCTAAGATCCAAGTCTACCTCCCTGCATTGCACCATAGCAGCAGGCCCTGCAATTCCTTGCCCCTTGACACAATTCAATAGCTCCATCTCCCCGCACTCCTGCATCATTACTGCTCCCTCTCCTGCTGCCACTGGTGCCTTCTGCTGACCAAGCCTTGATGCCAGCACAGCCACCAGCATGCTGAGCTGGCTTCCTGCCACGTCACCAGGTCCCTGCCTCCCGTCAGCACGAGCCAGAGCAGGAAACGATGGGGAATCGGCACCAGGCGCGCCAGAAGTAGCATTGGTTACCACCTGACGAACTGTGGCGAGTGAAGGATTCGCAGGTGAGGGCCTTTGTGCTTGACAGCTGCTGGTTGGGTTCGGAGGCTGCATAGACCATAATGCATTTAAAGAGGTAATCCCCTTAGCATCTGATGTGGCCACTGACCGTTGGGGCTGCAGGCAGTGAGGCTCAGGCCGTTCAACTCTCTGCGCCGTTACAGTGTGCTCCGTTTTCCGCACAAGTCTCCCCCGCTTTTCCTGCTCCTGCATCACCAGAGCCATCAGCTGCTGGAGCTGAGACGCCTGCGCTGCAGCCTTCCCATTGAAACTGCCGCCATGCACGGCGCCAACTCCGCCGCCATTCGCGGCGCCGCCAGAAGCTCCCCCGAACAACGGCACGGTGGTAGGGGTCGTGGGGCTGACGGGATTGCTTCCGGCGGCCGTCAGGTCCGTCAGTGATGACGTCAGCGAGTTCATTCGATCCGTCAGGGTCAGGCAGGACCCTGCGAGCGCGCCGATCCGACGTGGCTGCAAAGCTGACGTGTCCGACGGAGTGAGCGCGCCTCCGTCGCGACCGACGTCACCCACAGACTTATCAGCACCGCTCGTTACAAGAACACTCGGCGGTTGCCACTTCTTCCCCGCGATTCTGGGGCGTCCGAGTCGCTGCGACTCCACTTTAATTGACTCTGCTCGGCCGGCATCCATTGTCGCGATCTGAGCCCCTGCGGCGCAGCCGCCGAGCTCCGTCACGCGCCCAGGAAACTTCTCAGAAACAGCACCGCCGCAGCGCCTGCCGCCCCGTTTCGAGGCAGGTGCCGACGGGTTCGCCCCGCCAGGCTGGCTGTCGGCGCGGTTTCGTTTCGCGCCACGCCGCTGCTGCGACAATGTCTTCGCAGCACCCGTCGCCGCAGCCATCGCACCTGCGGCGGCGACATCTTCGCCGGCGCCAGACAACGGAATCGTCGTCGCGGACGGCGACGGCGACAACGATGGCGATCGTCCCTGGCTCTGCGACGCCGCCGCAGCGCTGGCGGCGCTTCCAGATTCCTCCAGAGTTTCTTGCGACGCCGCGACGTGCGCCCGACGGCCCGCAACCCGCGGGGGCGGCGGCGTGCCGCTTTTGCTCGGCGCGGCGGAGCCGCTTCCGGCAGGTTCCTCGCTGTCGTTGCTGCCGCCCACCGGGTGGCCAACCGGCAGGCGGCTTTTCTTGTCCTTACTGTGGTAAGTCTGGTAGTGGAAGTCAAGAGAGTGTAGCGACGGGAACTTGTTGGAGCACTCGCGGCACGCGTACGGTCCGCCGTTGATCGCACCGATATTCGCGGAGCTTGCTACCGTGGGGCTGAGAAGCATGAGCAAGTCCGCCGCTGATAGGCTCGTTTTGGCCTTGAAAACCGCGGAGTTAGAAGCTTCGTGGAAGCCCGCTCGCTTGGACGCGGCGGAGTCGACGGCGCAGAGGAGCGAAACGGGGGCCTGACGGAGCACCGGCAGAGCGCGCCGGCCGGCAGATTTGCCGGCTAGCAGGCCGTCAGAGGGTGATCGAGCAGCCAAAGCCATGCTGGAATAACTCATTAGGCGTTCAAAACGAATATCCTTAAGTGTTACTAAGCTGTTTCCGAGTTTCGCGCTGGAACAGGAGAGAGCAGATTGGGGAGTCGGATACCGCTTACTCCCAAGATCCGAATTATGATGTCCCAAGTTTCTCAGCTAGTCGAGTCGCTTTGACAAAGCTATTTAGGATGCCAAGGGAACACGGGACACTAACGATTCCCTCTGAGAGACGGGAGCTTCAAATCGATCCGAGAAGGAAGAAAGAATAAAGGCGCAAGTTCGAGTCTCAAAGCATTGGAATGAAGTCTGGTGCCTCTCGCGCCTTTAGTACACGAAGCTAGAGGTGGTAGCGGATCTGCGGGGTGCCTTCCAGGCATTCTTCTAAGCTGCAGATCGGAGATGGGACGAGACGGGACTCCCGGAGATTGGACGGGCCGGGGCCGGGGAGTGGCTGGGGATCCAAGAAGGATTTTTGTTACAATAATGCGCGAAGCCTGCCCTGAAAGTTGCACCAAGGCTGCTGCTGAGAGTTTCTGAGAGCAACTTTCGGGACGTCCTGTCCGTCCCGTCGGAAGGTCGTTGCAACAGTTACGAGAAGAAAACTGCAAGGGGCTGTCGGTGGTGATGGGTGACCTGACCAATGCAACGCTGAAAAGTTAGTGAGACGCTGAGTGAGTGAGGTGGGGTATAATGCGGTGGCAAATTTTAAACTACGGTGCGGAAAGGTGAGGTACGGCGCCCATGCATGCACAAACAAGGATGACGACAACAACGGAGCCGCACTGGTCTGCACGCAGTTACAGCTATATGTGAACTAGGAGGAGAAATTTGGATTCTGGATGCGTAGGAGGAATCGGGATCCAAATCAAGACTTGAACTCAGAAGGGACTCTCTGTGAGTGAGGGACATGTGTATGTGTATCAGCACAGAAGGGCCTTGTTCGTTTTGTCAACACTAGATTCCTAAACTGACGGGAGGTGGTGGGCACGTTGATGCAAAGGTCCCCGCAGTACTGCAGCCAACGAACGTAACGTGCTGTACAGGCCACGAGAGGTGCAGCTGCTGCGGTCGGCGGGAAACTGCGGTGCTGAGCGGAGACAAGGGAAGGCCGATGAAAACGTCGCAGCCAATCGGAGTTAGCCAGCCAAAACGAGAATGGGTCGGTGTGTCACAAATTGCACAAATTGTAACCTTACAAGCATCGGCGATGAAACGTACAGCGCTGCTTTTTTCGTCGACTGTGCTCGTCTGCCAACACTGTATTCTGTTACAGAAAGATGGGAAGGCGGAAACTGCGAATGCGTGGATGGCGAAAGAGGGTGCTGCAGGTGCCAAAACGAGAGGAAAACGACGACTGCCGCAAGGGGGGGAAGGCACGGTGCGAAATCGAAACGGGCATTTGAGAATTCGCGAGCTCGCCACGCCCGCCAGTGGACGGTTCAACAGAAAGTGGCGGTGGGGGAAGATGGGGATTGGGCGCAGGGCGTCATGTCATTCCAGCCGCGATTTGCGCGTTCCGCTGACACCAGACCTGACGGACGTGACGCGGGAGGTTGAGAAACACACACTTGAATTCCGTCGAGCCGAGGCGTGCTTCGTCTCCACATTTCACCACTGACTGGCAGCGCCAACTTGCGGTTGTGCAGAAAACGGACGAAACTGAACAGTTCTCGGGAAATGAGACCTTGGAATATCGGAGCAAAGGAAAGCTGAATCCGCCCGATATGTCAACTGTGGGGAGGAAGAGAGGAGAGGTGACTTCTGGATGGAACTGTGTTGATGACCCCGTTGCATCGCATCGCGCGCACGGCTCTTGTCTTGACACCACCAGGCTGGCATTGTGGATTCCATGACTTCGACAAGACAAATGCACGATGTAAGTTGTCGAATGCCCGACTACACCTCACAGATGAGTGCTGCATCACAGTGTATTACTGTACTGTGTGTATTGTATTCTTCCACCTAAAAACATACAGTTCATATTCGGCTGTCTTTATCAATTCCGTACACACAGTTCCAAGGGGAGAAAGGCTGTACTGTACACCTGCCCGAGCCGAGCCCAAGAGACGTGCCAGTGCCAAGGTGGAGGTTATCGTCTCGTCATCAGCATCATTTTCCCCAGAAAAACACAAACGACAGCCTGTGCTTGAAATGCGGCTGGGAAAGTCAAGCACAAATTTGACTCGCAGACTGCCCGATATTGCAATTTCCGGAAGTTGGAAAGTATGCTGCGGCCTCGAGGAGGAACACCAAATGGTGGAGGTGTACACAAAATGGGTGCACAAACAAAATCTCAAAAACTTGTGGCGGACGAGAACACTCACAGCGGAGTGTAACGAAACGGCTGCAGCAATGAGCTTGGTTGTCTGGTGCACACATCCGCAGGACTTCGTCACGCCGACGACGTCGGTAAGCGCACGTTACGTGGCAGAAGTGTCTTTCCTTTCCACATTGACCGTTTTGAGGCACGTTACGTTACTATGCAGTACAGTATATCTATAAGGAAATTCCCTTTTCCTTACTTCGCGTCCCTGCTCAGCGCGTACGTCACTGTAGCACCTCAGTCAGCACCGTTACCACTCGCGACCATCGCATCATTCATCATCCCGCCCTTTTCGCACATCGCATCCCGACCTCACGGCTCGGCTGGTAACCCGCGCTCCGGGCCTACGCTTCGACATTTTCCCAACCTCAGTCCCAGGCTCGACGCGCGACAACCACAGTCCATTACCGTTACCACTATTGTTTCGCTATATAATCCTTCGCTCATGCCTTCGCTCATTGTACTTTTGTTTCGATAGTGCAATTCTCGTTCGTTCACTCAGTTGCACTCGTAACACTTGGTATCAAGAGCCTACGATCTCATCTCGGACCGCATCCACACCTTCGCTTCCCACTATCTCAATTTTTGGGAGGGGTAGACGTCTCTCAGCGACACAGCACCGCCGCTCGTAGTGCTCTCTCGCAAGCACGCACGGCCACGACCGAGGCTCTCGCTGAGCTTGCCCGACACCCCCGCCATGGCCGACCTCAATCTTGCCACGTTGACGCAGGAGCAACTCGATCGTCTCGTGCGACAATTGGAGGATTCGGCGCTTGAAATCGCGACGCTCACAGCGGAACGTGACTCCGCCCGTCAACAGTCAACGGTGAATGTTCCGACGACATCCCACGCACCAACCAATGTTTCTGTACATTCGGAGGAGCCGATTGTCATCTCATCCGGCACTCCAACGCAACACAACAGCACGGGACAGCGCTCAGGCGCAGCCAGTGACGGCGCAGCCCAACCGATGCCCGGCATGGGAGGGAACAGGAGCACGCTAAGCCCACGGGAGCCCCGAGAAGCCCGTCGGCACGTGGAGATTGCGGCGACAAGTGGTGAAAACGCCATGATGGCCCCAATGCCACTCAAGCCGCAACGCCCGCCCTGCTTCGACCCAAGCCAACGCGGCGACCCGACAGTTCAATCGTGGGTCTTCACGATGAATGTGTTTTTCGACGCCAACTACATCGAGTCTGACGCCGCCAAGATTCGGTATGCGGTTTCACTACTCAGGGGCCCCGCCATGGACTGGTGGCGAGTCATCGTGACGTCGCCACGCGCCTACGAGCCACTGTCGCACGAGGAAGGGCCCTCGGGTCCGGCTGTCACCTGGAGTTCGTTCTGCGAAACAGCCCAATACAGCACGTGGGATGCGTGGTGCGCAGGGCTTCGGGCGCGTTTTGAGCCGATCGTGGCTTCGATTTCGGCGCGTCAGAAACTGCGCACTTGGCGCCAGCTCGGGTCGGTTCAAGACTACACCAGCGGTTTTCTCGCACTTTGCGAACAGGTCGGCTACTGTGAGAATAAGCGAACAGGAATGAATGAACTAGCAGTGAAATGAGTACAAGTAGGAAACCCTAGAATTGTGTACCCCCTATAGGCTAACCCACTGTAGCCTACACAAGCATAACATATATAATGTTTGACACACCCCCATAGGCAAAGTGGGGGAGAACAAGGGGTCACAAGACCAGTCAAGCAAAACAAAGCAAGCTCAGGGTGGATCACAAAGTCACCACACAGTCCGAGCACAAGAGCAGGGCCAGAGGCCAGTTCACATGCAGGAGTACAGACATATATATAAAACTAGACAAGCAAGAGCAGGTATATATATATGTCACAGTACAAGTGAAGTCAAGAGGAGAGCAAGTGAGGCAAGACAGGCACAAGACCCAGCTGGGTGCAAAAGCGCTGATGGTCACAAGGCGCGAGTGCCTTGGTGAACACATCAGCAGTGTTGGCCTCAGAGGCCACGTACGCAAGTCGCAACTGACCACGCTGCTGCAGCTCACGAGCAAGGAAGTAGCGGAGAGCAATGTGC